ATAAATTATTTTTTTAAAGAAGGCTCGAAGGGGAAGATGCATTCAGGATAGCCATGTTTTTGGTGTAGTCCAGGCTTTAAACATCAAAACATTTTGTAATAAAAATCACATACTAAGATGTGGTGGTTTTGTCACCATTGTAATGAAATAATTTATGTAGGTATTTGTTTATTTTTAGCAATAAGTACTTATGTAGCACTTTCTATGTACCAGGCACTATTCTTAGCCCCTTGCATACACTAACTCCTTCTGTTGTCACAATAACCCTGTGAGGTAAGTGTTATGTTAATATCCATGTTTTACAGATAAGGGGAGCAGGGTACATGAAGGTAAGTTACTATGCCAAAGTCACACAGCTGTTAAGTGGTGGAGGCAGATGTGAACCCAGGACACCTTTTTCCACAGCCTGTGCTTTTAACCACTAAAATATATTGCTTCTTAAAATCTTTCTGCATTACACAGTAAACTCCTTAAAGCAGGGGCTTGAATCTATGCCAGGCCCAGAGAAAATCTGATAATTATATGGTGAGTGAATGAATGAACAAACAAAAAAGGAACCGGTTTTGTAGCAATATTGTTATAGATTAAATGTTTGTGTCCCCCTAAAATTCATATGTTGAAACCTAATCCCTAATGTGATGGTACTTGGAGGTGGGGCCTTTGGGAGGTGATTAGGTCATGAGGGCAGAACCCTCATGAATAGGATTAGTGCACTTATAAAAGAGACCCCAGAGAGGTCCCCTGCCCCTTCCTTTCTCTGTGTGAGATTATAGCAAGAAGATGGCCGTCCATGAACTCCATGAACTGGGAATAGGGGCCTTACCAGACGCCAAAATCTGCTGGTGCCTTGATCTTGGACTTCTCAGTGTCCAGAACTGTGAGAAACAAATTTCCATTGTTTGTAAGCCACCCAGTCCATAGTATTCTGTTATAGGAGCCCAAACAGACTAAGACAAATATTCTGGCAGTTAGAGACTTTTGTGTTTTCTGCTTGGCTCTCACTGGTGTTTCAGAGAGGTGCGATTTAATATAAATAAGACACTGTGCTTGGCACTGCAGGCTACTCTCTGATAAATAAGATGAGTGTAGTTGAGTCTGGGACAAGTGAACTATTATAAAATCAGTACTTATTTAAACTATATGACTTAGGAGAAACCATAAACCAAAACAGATACATAAATCTCACTATTTTACAAGGCATTTCCCCACAATAAAATGGGGATGATGATTTTTAATGATTTTTGTGTATGTATTAAAATTGATGACAATATTTAAAGCTAGTTAAGATCTTCATCAAAGGTATTAAACACCTACAGAGTGGTTCATGTTATGATGGCTTTATGGCAAAAGAAAGGCAAACAGGGCTACAAAGTCACTCAAACATTGTAATAATACACTAACTCACGCTGGGAGCAAAGACATCAAAAACCCACCATCTGGTTGTGTTTGGATGCTACATGAGCAAATCTGTCAGCTTTCTCAAAGCCTTCTCCTTCATTGTACCATTTCACCATCTAAGCTGACCATTCCAGCCAACATTATGTTCTTTCAGATCTGTTAGCAGTTTAAATTTGACTGTGTCATTTTTCAGACATTAATCAAGCAGTCTGCTGTATGTTTCCATACACAGTTCCTTCCAGAAGATAGAACTTGTCTGAAAGAACAATGCAGACAGGCCCTGTCCCTTAGTATCTTGATTGCCAGCTTGATTTGTTATTGGCCATCTGGGGAGAAAGATGTGATATCCAAATAAAATGTGCATGGAGTACTTTTCAGGATATAGCTAAACAAAGAACAACCATGGAGGAAAAATGGAAGACTTGGCAGCTGCGTTTAGTCTAAATGGGGCTTTTATTAAAGGACTTCTATCTATGACCATTTATTGAGCATCCCCTTTGAACCAGGTGCTATACTAAATAGATCACTGGGATTCTCCCACCATTCTCTCCCCATGCTAGCAACCCTTTGGCAGAGCTGTCTTTCTTTCAGTTGCTAGAATGTACCAGAGTCCTTCTGCCTTCAGAGTCTTCAAACACTCTGTTCCCTCCACCTGAATGATTACTCCCACCCTGTGTCACCAGACCACTTTCCAATTATCCTCAACTTAAATGTCTCTTTATCAGAGAAGACTTTCTGTGATAGCCTGTGCTGTTAGATTCCCCTATTACCTCTTTCATAACACCTTGGACTTTTCCTTCCAAGCGTTTAGCAAAATTATGAAGAGTTATTTGTGATACAATTTGTTCATATTCTCTACTAGGTGTAAGCTTCAAAAAGGCCAGGATAGAGTCACTCCGGCTCACCACTTCCAAGCCACTCGATGAGTGCCTGGCACATAGTAGAAACTCAGTAATTATTTGCTGAACAGTAAAATGAGTAAACTAATGAAGACAGACCATGCCCTCTATGTACTTACAGTTTGGCACTGTTTAGTTTGTATAGTAGATCTATGCTATTTTGAGAATTCTTATTTTTAAATTAAGCTGTAGATGCTAAAAAATAAAATGACCTGGTAATTGGCCTTGGAGAAGGGGGCTGGTTAGTGGTGAGGTGGGTGGTGGGGAGATGAGTTAAGTTCCATTGAGTTCTATCAGAACATCCAGCTACCAGAATGTAAAGCTCCTTCATAGATTGGTTTCACAAAAGTGAGACTAAACCCCCTTCCCGTGTATTCCTCCACAAAGCCTCAGAGAAAGTTTGGAGTCTGTAGTTGCTAAATGGACTTCACGATTAGTCTTTATTTAGAAAAAAAAATAAACCAGTAGTTTTTTCTTTGATTTCTCTGTTTATTGTAGGTTTTATACTGCCCACATTTTCCCTCAATGAATAATCCAATAAGTAGTGATCCAGGTCTGGATGCAAAGGGAGAGTAGGTGTATAGAAAGAGGAGATGACGCAGAGGGGATTTGAGCCTTTTAAAGTGAAATCTGATTTGCATGTCAGCCAAGTTCCCATAATATTCAGATTGGACTTTTGTAATAGTCTCTGCCTTGTTCTGTCTTCCATAAAAACTTATGGATTTTTGGTTACCAGGGATTTGCTGTCTGTCCCTTGTTAGTTGGAAACTCAGGTTTTGTTTCAGATACATTTCAAACTTTGTATTGACATTGCACCCTGTACCATCCACACAAGCCCTATAAGCTAAAGTTTCCATAATTTCTCCTTATAGGATTCAGAATTCTCTTTATAGGATTCAGCATTTTATTTCAGGGTCATCTTAGCCTACAGAATTCTCTTCCTCTTTTAATATAAAATTTTAGTTTATCAATGTTGGCATTGGTGTGGAAATTATCTTTTTCTACCTCAGGGGAGTTTGAAATGATATGTCAAATATATATCTAGAATTAGTTTATTTATTTTTCCAAATGTTTTCTATTTTGAGAGTTTGTTTTCTCAATTACTTTATTTTCTAAATGTCAGTGACAAACAAGAAATAGACAGTCAAAGAACACCTGAACACTAAGATGTGTAAATCTAGCGCATTTTTAATTGACTAGAACATTAGGACACTTAGAAACCATTACACTGCTGATGAGTGTTTAAGTTTTTAGTTAAATGATTCATTTTCCTTTTCAAGAGTAGGACGTTAGGATCTAATTAGGAAACTGCTATGACTTAGGTGCATATAAACCTAACATGATTTGCCTTTATACATGTAGTTAGAGTTTAACGTAGAATGTTTTTTGAGGGATGATTGGTTGAATTTTTCTTACTACTCATATTCACATACACACACACAAATTTTTTCCACTAGATTCTAAAATTAGAAATTTTACTCATAAAAATTAAACATATATGAACATTTTTATGAAGAAGAAAATAAAACCTATGCTTAAGCTAACCATTGAAAGTTATTTTACTTTTTAGTATATTTCCTTCTAGTCTTTTTGCCATTCATACATTTTATTTATTGATTTTCTACAATTGAGATAGAGTTTTGTATATATATTATTTTCATCTAACTTCTCGTCTTGAGTCTTTCCCATATCATTAAGCCATCTTCATAAATGCAATTTCTTGTGGCTCTTTACAGGAAATTCAAGTTGTTTATTTTTCAGAAGTTATAAACACCTATTCACATAGACTTTTGTCAAAGCTTCTAATTTTTTTTACTTTAGAATAGATTCATAAGGTGAAATTACTGAGTAAAATGACATGTACATTTTTAAGGCTTTTGATACATATAGTAAAATTGCTTTTCGGAATACTAATACCAGTTTAATTCCTACTTGCTACATATGACAAGGCTTAATATCTTTGCCATGAAAGAGGTCAACAAATAAATAGGAAAAAATGTTCTAATAGTAAAATAAGTTAAGAAATGAACAGAAAATTTACTAAAATGAAAATTTATTTATATAAATATATATGAATGATATCAAATCTCACTACAAATACACATTATAATAATCAAAATACTATTTTAATTATAATAAACTATTTTTTATTTGAAAGTATTCTAAGGTAATATCTTAACATTAGAGGAAGCTGGATGAAGGGTTTATGGGAACTCTGTAGTATTTTTGTAACTTTTCTATGAGTCTAAAATCATTTCAAAATAAAAAGTTAAATTAATTTACTCATATAAAGGGTCTAGGTGCTCATTTAATAATGTTATTATTTTTATTGATGTCATATAAATGAGCCAGTGTATCCCAGAAATCTTCATGGGAGCATACCTGAACAGTTCTCTTGAGTCACAATCTAGTATTGGAAAACTAAAGTATTTCAGTGAATGCTCTCCATTGTTTGCACAAGTCTCTGAACCTGCTCCATATGTTCTAAATTTATTTCATTTAATCTTTTCTATAGTCCAAAAAAGTAAGCAGTAAAATTATCATGCTCATTTTGCAGATGAGAAAACCAAGGCTGTAAGGTTAAGTAACTCATCTAAACTCATACTCTCAAATGTTTTACTTTAATTGGTTCCATTCATAAGATATGTCCATTTGGCAGAAATGGCTTATATTCTGGGAATGAATGTTTCTCTTTATTTCCAGCTGGATATGATGTTCCCCTTCCAACAGATGAACCTACAGACGTTATTCCACGAAGCTGCCAACTAACGACAGATGTTCCACAAGTCACACAGCTGCTAAACATGACTAAACTCCGCCAAACAGAAATCAAATTTGGAGGTCATCCTCTACGTTCAGCAGAGTCAGGTATGCACTCAGGCACCTAAATTATAAAAATAGTTATTTGTAAGGCCAAAGAAAGGAAAACAAAACAGCAACCTTGCAATGGTGCTTTATAGCTGGAGGTTAAATGTTAAGTCACTTTAACGTCTGCTCATGTCAGCAATAAATCATTATTTTAAATTTCTCTTTAGCAACTAAAATATTTTCTGGATTTTTACATGATAAATCAAAACATCTTTGATTATTTTTCTTCTTTTCCTATATGCTTCCAAGCCCTGCCAATTATACCTCCTAAACATCTCTCAAATCTGTCTTCTCCTCTATCCTATTGCTACTTCCATTGTTCAGCTCCCCACCATCACTCATCTTAGCCCCCCAGTGAATCTCCACATTGCTGTCAGAATTATCTTTCTGATAATAGAATAGAAATGTGATCATGTCACTCTTTGACTTTTAATGCCTTTCCCACTATCTTGAAAGACAAAATGAAAAAACCCTTGGGAACGCAAACAAAAGCACACCTCCCCTATCGCAAACCTGCTCCACAGTTTCATCCCCAGACAGCTTTCTCTTTCCTCTGTGTGATTTTCTGACCGCTCTGTGGACTTTCGCATATTCATATTTTGGGATTATTGTTTTGTTCACCTAAAATGGCTTCCTTGCCTTTCTGCCTGGAAAAACTCCCAGTTCATCTTTCTAGATCCAGCTCAAAGGCCACCTCTTCTATGCAGCCTTTCCTAATTCTAAGAAGCGTTGCTCTCCTCTTTCTATGACTTTTTCCCCCTCTTTTTTTTTGATACTTTTTAATGTACCTGCATTCCCCAGTGAAGTGTGACTTCCTCCAAAAAGGGTACTGTACCTCATTCTTTTGCATCCCTAGCATCTAACAGTACCACATATACCAGGCCAAGGGCTGCAGATTCAAATTACTACAGAGGCCACTCAGACAACAAATGAGTAAAGTAGCCTGGATGCCTGGAAATTTGAGACACAGAAACATTTTTGATTTCACCAGTGAGTCTTATTAGAAGTGGAGGATACAGTTAGGGGAGAGGAATGAGATAGTGCTTCAGAGAAATTGCTCTCTACTATTAAAACAGTAACATTAACAACTATGCAAATAATATAATAAATGGCAATTAACACTCAGCCCCTGTGAGGGAGCTGTAGGAAGTGGTGAGGATTGCAGAAGACTAGAAGCTCCTTCTCAGTCTAGAAGGGGTAACTGCAGTTTAGTTCTAGCCAGTGTTGCCTTGCAAGAAAGCAAGCCCAGTCTCAGCAGATCTTCCGTTTTTTCAAGAGAAGATGGATATCCCAATGTTTATGATAAATCTCCCAATTTTAAAATACTGTCTGAAGTCTGAAATTCTTTGAGAACACTCTCTATGGGCCAAACAAAGCATGCCAGGGCTGCCAGTTTTCTACCTCTGTAATAGACAGCCATAGTTATTGACCAAATGAATGAATAGTACTTACAAATGAAGAAACCTAATATTATTTAGATGTGTGGTTCTCAACCTCTGGTATGTTAGAATCACCTGGGACATTTTAAAAATAACTGACATTAAAAAAATTTTTTTTTTAATGGCTTTGCTTCACTTCTGATTTAATTGGCCTGGGATGGACATTTTTTTTTAACCCCTCCAGCAATTCTAATGAGCAGCCAACGTTGAGAACCACTGAATGACGTATCCCCACAAAGGTCAGGTGGTTCAGATGATACTCATAAATACTGAAGTAATTCAGAGGAAGAGGAAATGCAGGGCACTGATGGAGGAAGGAGTAGATCTTGAAAGTATTCAATAAATACTTGTATAAGTATTTATAATAAATATAAGCTTTATGGAAGATGGTGCAGAAGACTGAGCAAAGACAAGGACCCATGTAATGCATGGATGAGTTTACTGAGGGATTAATAAGAGGAATGGCCTGAGTAGGCAGAATGGCTGTGTTGGAATGATATGGGAAGAGTATGCCTCATGTTCCTCAAGTAGAGGAAAGATAACTGCTTTTTTAAGAAGTTGTATTTGACATCAGGATTCAAGATGAATTTTTAAGTCAAGTGAGACTAGAGATTAAAGATTCTAACTCAGATGTCTGCAGCAGTTTAGGCATAAAATGACAAGTGGCTGTGAAAGTGGAAAGTGATGACCCTGAGAGAAACTGCAGGGGAAAACTGGCAGGACTTGTTGATTCTCAGATAACACATGGGGAAGAAAGAGTGGTCAGAGCTGGAGAGAGGTCAAAGTAGAAACAGGAGAAAGGAGATAATCATGATGAAATGAAGGAGTTGCAAAAGTGGACTCAGTTTTACTCTCTACATTTGTCTTCTCTTCATTTATTCTGGGTGTATTTTCTACGTATCAATCCCCATCAGCATGACATGTCCTAAATTGTATATTCCTAGAGAATTAGGATCTATTTTGTAATTTTTTCAGTATAAACCTTGGCAGAGGGCTATGTGTAAATAGTCACTACATTTTTAAACCCTTTATTATGAAATTTTCAAATTTAGAGAACAGTAGAGAGAATGTATAATGAGCCCCCATCTCCCGTCATCTGCTTCCACAATTGTCAACTTCAGGAAGGACTTTTTGATAGCAATGAGGGCACAAATGGAAATTTGTGTATTTATTATATACACTATCATTAGACAGAGAGAGAGAGAATATATACAATCTATGTTCATTAAAGAACTTTTAGAAAATACGTAAAAGGATGAAAAAGATCTCACTACCCAGCCAGTGTAAACACCTCAGGTCACAATTCAGTCTTAATGGAAGATTTGCCACAGAATGAAATGATTAAGAGTGTTTTCAATAACCAAAGACTGTATCTGTATCTAATAGGCTATGATAGATTTCAGTAAAAGAAATGACTAAGCTGTAAAGCCTATCAGATAACTCTTTGCAATTATAAATGCTCTTTTTTCTCCTATCTCTCTGGTTTAATGTTTTAAGAATTAATTATGTCTGTGAGTGAAAATGCAAGTCTATATCTAGATATTTTAAGTGTCTTCTTTTTTTAAAGTTCAAGGACACTTATAATGCCTGAGATTAAAGAGGAATTTGAATAAATATTAATTGCATTATTAATTCAATACTATAATTAAGCAGAAACTTTTTCATAGGCCATATTTGATCCCAAGTTATATAAGAGGATATTAGTATATATTTTGCAGATTCCATAAGTGGAGTGTCAATACATAATAGTCAACTTGAGTCATATATACAGAAAATTAATAATCACCATCTAATAGTGTGTTTCTTCTTCCCTGTGAAATCCAGTTATATTTATATTCATTTGTAACCACAGTATTTATGATTGTTCCTCTTAAGTAAATCTCATTGCACATGTATGGGAGCAAAGATTACATGAAATACATTGAATTTTGTGTTTCTCTTTCTACAAATACTTTTCAGTTGCTAATTTTGACATTTGTGGGCTTTGAAACTTACTACGAATGAATATAATACTAATTATTGTTCTTTGTGTAAGACACTTTATTTGAAAGGCGTAGCTAATGAGTAGTGGCCTAGGACAGACTTTTTAATCATGGAAAAGCCAGGAGATATTTCCTCATTTGAACTATTTCTTTCTGTGTCTTTCTAAAAAATGGACTCCCCATGATGAGATTTGAATTGCATGAGAAAATGACTGTGCGCTTTTGTAGTTGGCTGTACAGTACTCATGTAAATTGTGATATTTTGTTATAAATGTACATATTGAGAGATCTCAGTGAAGCTGCTGCGGAAAGAAGTAGCTGCTTCCTATGGATGCTTTCTAGTGTGTTCACCTATGTGAAAAAGGAAACCTTGAAACTTCTGATTGTTTCAGAGTGCATTTTATTGAATATCTTATAACATGATCAACAGCATTTAATGAAATTAATAAAATAATTGTGTTTCCCAAGAGCCAGTGTTCCACACATTCAGTCTGTTCACTTTTGTGCACTGTTCACTTTGTGAATTCCCATTGCACATTAGCTAATGACTGTTGGTCTGCAGAGGACTGTAGGATCTGATGATCTTATTTTCATTAATGGGACCTCAGTTTAATTGAACTGGAGAATCAGGTCTGGTTATTGAGGTTGAGCATTCAGCTACTAATGACAAGATGCAGTGGTCCACTCAGCACAAATCTAAACGAGTGATTTACTTAAAAATTAGGAAGCAGTTTCCCCAAGTGTTCTGCTGTCCCCAGCAACAGTCTTAGTGGATTTTTACTCCTTTTTAAATAAGAAGAGACTGACATCCCTGTCTCCTGGCACAGTTGCAAACAGGTAAATTAATGCATCTAGCAAAATCATGAAATAATCATCCTACTGTAATTGGCATTGGTGAGATCCTTACTAGAATTTCTCCTTTGGGTTACACATTACAAAGGCAAAATCCAAACCAAGCAAGAAAATCTACCATAAAGTAGAACCTAAAAGAAAAAGGAGTTAGATTCTGATTTCAGGAAAAAACAGGACACTCTTTAATTTCTTCTTTTCTAGACTCAGACTTTTGATAAGCCTTGCCTTAAGATTGCTTGTTAAAGAGATACCACAGCTGGGGACCAGCCCGGTGGCATAGTGGTTAAGTTTTCATGCTGCGCTTCAGCAGCCCAGGGTTCATGGGTTCATATCCCAGGCACAGACTTACACACCACTCATCAGGCCTTGCTGTGGCGGCATCCCATGCACAAAATAGTGGAAGATTGGCACAGATGTTAGCTCAGGGCCACTCTTCCTCAAGCAAAACGAGGAAGATTGGCTACAGATGTTAGCTCAAGGCCAATCTTCCTCGCCAGAAAAAAAAAAGAGAGAGAGATGCCATAATTTCTGGTTCCAGTGTCTGATAATAATTCAAAGTAAACTCAGCTATCTCTCCTACATTTGGATTATGTATCTTCTTTCCCCACCTTTAGTAAAAATTGACACAACATCACATTCCTTCCTTAAGAATTTTTTTAAATGTGAAAGGAATTTGATATGGATATTGATCAGTATCTCTGAAATGTGTTACAGCAAAGATGGCAGA